GCGTATTAAGGCACCTGCAGATACTGCACCATCAATGGCTCAATCACAAGGGAAATCAAAGTTGAACGATTCTCCGTCAATGGCTCAATCACCAGGGAAATCAAGCTTAGATGATTCTCCCGATTATTCTGTCAATCTGCAATAATTAAGATTTCATTCCTTTTGTATATTTCCTTTTTCATCAGTTCTTTCCATAAGTGTAAAATAGGGCAGCTTCCGTTCTTGTATATATATACATGTAAAAACCAGTGAATAAATATCTGAACTTCTACCTTCAATCTTCTTCCTCACCTCAACATTGCGCACCATAAAGTCTAAGCAGAACCAGTTCTTAACATTATCTTTTTTATTTCTTTTTTTGGCTGAATTCACCTTGAAGTATTGGAAGAGACAAGTTTTCGTTGTGAATTTGGGACGCCATTTAGTATTTTATTCTTCCACCAGTAAACCGTTACCATTGCTCTCAGTATGGCAAGATGATTGCTTTTTTTTTTTTTTTCTTTTTGGCCAGAATTCGGTGTAGAAATTAGTAGCTGGTGTGTCATTATATAGTTGAGTAGATAAGGTCCGGGGTAATTGTTGGAAATAAGGGAAGTCCAGTATTTGAAGTCTCTTGAAAAATTTTTTACTAGCAGTGAGGGCTTATCTAAGCAAGGCCCCTGAGAGCAAATATGAGGCTATTACTAATGTTTTGAAGGTGTTTTTGATCACTTAGATTGGCTTGAGAGATACGGTTGCTTGTCTTGGATTCTTGCTGCTAACTTTTGGCCTATTCAACTCTTATAATTTAATTTTCACCTTTTTGAACTTTGCAGGCTGATTCTTTACATTCTGGTTCTGTATCATTTGGAAGATTTGAAAAAGAACCCTTATTTTGGGAGAGGAGGTCATCTTTCTCGCACAATAGATATCTTGAAGAGGTTGAGAAATTCTCGAAACCAGGTTCAGTAATTGAGAAGAAAGCTTATTTTGAAGCTTATTTTAAGAAGAAGGGCATTCGGTTTCCAGGTTCATCTGAGGTTCATTATGGGGGAGAAAATCAAACTAGTGAGATTGATGATGCGGAGAATGAGCGTTATAGAGATGAATCTAATAATGTGAATGAGGTTGGTTGTTATGATCGATTTGATAAGAGTAGCTTTGACGAGGTGGGTTGCAGAGAAGAATTTGCTTATGGGAACCAAGGAAGCCAATTTGATTATGATTATGAAAATGAACGGGCCAAGTTTGATCATGCTAATGAAGGTAGCCAATATGGTGATGAAAATGAAAACGTGCAGTTTGATCATGAAATTTTAGGAGGTCGCTATGCTCCCTTCAACAGGAGCCGTGAATGTTCAGAATATCTCTGTGAGGGTGAAGTAATTGAGTGTGAAACAGAGGGTCATAGCGTTTTATCTTCCAAGATTCAGGTGGAAGCTGAGGAAGTGAATGCTGATATTGTGGTGGGCGATTTCCCTAAAGTGTTTGAGGATGAGGAAACGGATCAAAGTGGAATTGGATTGGGTAAGCCACTTAAATATGATGAACCAGAAAAAGAAGTAGAACAGAATCTTAATGATTCTGTAGTTCATGTTGATGAATCATTTAAGTCCATTGATTCATCACCCAAAAGTGGACGAGTTAGGGAACCTGACGCTGCTGGTTCAGAAGATCAAAAGAATATTGCCCCAAAGGTATGATTTTAAAGCCTTTTACGGTTCCTTATCATTCAAAACTAATCAACATACTTCATCCAGATTTCAAGATACCATAATAATGTGTTATTTAGAAACTTGCTCTGATATATTTATTTATTTATTGTGATATGTATAAACTCTGTTATACTTGCTTTTTCAAAAATTTACTAATGGCATTGTTCCTTTCGTTGTGGCTTATGCTCTTTAATTTGTTGATTCTAGTTTGAGGCTTCTGTGGAAGGTAAATCTGTCAAACCCAGATTGAAGTCCCAGGTTAAGCCCAGTTCCTCCCCCATAAACATATCTTATGGTACACCAAAAACTGCTGCAAAGGGTCAGATTCAAACGGAAAAAGAGACTCCAGGGAGAATGGTAACAAAAAAGTTATCATCAAAAGCTGCCACTCCAGCTAGACGTCCATTACACAAATCTTCAATAAAAGAGGTGTGAGTTTGAACTTGAAAGATGCTTTAAACTCCTGGAATATTGCAGCATTCTGTTTGAACTCTAGTATTCATTTTGATTTAAAGCATTTTAAACTGAATTTAACATGTTATTTGACTCTCTTTGGTGAAATCTTGGATTTTCCTGCGCAGGAGTGCAAAAGATCAAATGGAAAATTTAATGTTGAGAACAAAAGGTATATTAGTTAGATGTTTGAACTATTCATGTTTGATGCCTTGGGACATTCAAGATGATTCTCTTCTTCTGGTAGTGTAAAAGGAGGACCAAGGGTAAAGAAAGCAGTTGAAGCTCCACCTTCTCATTCAAATAAAACTCAACCTGTAGCACATCAAACGCCAAGCAGGTCTAATAATTAGAGACATGGGAATCGCTTTACATTGTCAATATTTTGACTTTCTAAATGTTATTGTCAAATAATTATATGTAGGCTTCGTCAGAAGGTCTATTCACCACTGCCAGACAAAAAGACGGTATCTGCAGCTTTCAATTTTAAAAGTGATGAGCAAGCAGAAAGGAGGAAAGAGGCAAGCAACTGAGCTTTTTGTTTCCAAACTAATATTCTCTTCTGTTTATTTTGTTCCATTTAAATGCCTTACCCTGCCCATTTTATTACTTGATGGTTTCAGCTTTGCATGAAGTTGGAAGAGAAGATGCATGCAAAAGAAGCTGAGATGAACCAGATCCAAGCAAGAACCCAGGTATTAGGTCCTTAAGTGAAAATTTCATGTTTTGACTTTCTACTGCTGGCTACCTTATTTATCATGTCGAAATGAACTCACTTTTAGACTACTCAGTTCATGACTTTTGGATATTGTATGGAATTCTGAACTGATACTAATTTTCAGGAAAAGACTGAGGCTGAGATTAAACAGTTGCGGAAAAGCCTTAATTTCAAAGCAAAACCCATGCCTTCCTTCTATCATGTTGCTGCAACACCAGGATCTAATGGAAGCAAGGTACGTTAGAATAATAACTATTGGTTTCTTTTCTGATGCCCTTACTTTCTTGTGTTCGGTGGGTCAAATTTTCAGTTCTATCTCACCCAGTAAGGACTTATGAATCACAGATATGAACGGACATGGCTGCATATTTATAATTCACTTGTCTGCACAAGATAAGAAACAATTGAATTCTAGCATAACTCATTAGGTCCAATTCTGTTATCCGTTTTCTTTTAAAAACTCTCCTTTTTGTTTTCTTTATTTCAAATGCAACTAATCCACTTACCTAAAAGTCAATGTAACTAACATTCACAGAAAAAATTCTATGTAACTAATCCTTTTTTCTTTTGGTTGAGCATTATCTGTGGATGGAGCTCGCTTTTTCTTTTTTTTTTTCCCCTTTTGAACAAGAACAAATTTGGGGGAGGGAGATTCAAACCCATCACCCAAGGCTGGGGGTTGCACCTTTTGCAAAGGCTTATAGCCAATAGGCCTTCTAGACT